GATATTTTCGTACAATACATCTACCTCGGCCCTTAATATCATAGTAGTTTTTTTATTAAAATCCTTAATGTGGTCTGCAAGAAATTAAGGATAAAAGTTAACAATAGGACATTAACCTTTAAGCTACGGAGTGCGTATAAAAAACGTCTTCTTTAGTTGCGAGTGTCTCGAATGGTTTTCTAACTTTGACAGACGCGTAGGTGACGGATCAACTTACCTTAAAAGAAAGAGAGCGACACACACACACACACACATAGCCCAAAATAAAGAGAAAAGAAACAAAGAAAGAAGAGGTACACAATATAAGATTTCACGCTGAAGATGATAAAAGTGAAGTATAATGCAAGAAAGATCGAGAAGATTAATCCATTATCACCGGATATGTCACGCGCTTCTCCGAGCGGTGTTGGTATAAATAACGATTGTAAATAACGTAAATTCACCGATACGCAAACCGTACGCTATATATCGCGCGCGTGCGCGCGCGGCCATACCTGGGAACATTGGATTACAATAACCGGATACCCGGAGTGTTCGATATTCGGTCTATTTGGGTCACGGTAAACACCGGGATTCAAAGTTCCGAGCAAACATTCGGAACCAGCATGCAAAGCCGGCGCACGGCCTGTTTACAGCGTCTGTACACAAAGAGATCGGGTACGACATCGAATTCAACGCACGCAATGATAACGTGCGAGGCTGTTGCGCGAGAGGCTAGTAGACTACCCGAGTCAGGCCAACTTGTACTAATTTAATTGACAAGCCTCGAGGTCGACCTCCTTTTGGTACCGCTGCCTGACTGAATAATCCCAACGGGCTGCGTCGTAGACGATGTAACGTTGAATCCCACATACACGTATTCACAAACACACACACGCGCGCATATCTCACTCTTGTGAGTGCGTTCATGTGCTTCGATGTCGCTTGTATCTGACAGCTGAGCCTCTACGTGTGCTAATTAATCGGCCTGTTCCTCGTATTTTCTCTCTCCTTGTTATTTTCTTTTCTTTTACGCGAAACTCCCGGCTTCGTGTCTAAGAGGGAAAACGCTTTGCTCTGTATCGTGTGTATTGAAAATATGTAAAACGGGACATTTTACAGGTCTCCTCCTGCTTGTGCGCACGAACGAACGAACGAACAACGCGAGCGAGCGAACGAGCGAGAGTACTTTTCTCACCTGCATTTTTCCGCGAAGCGCCTCTCTCTCTCCCCCTCCCTGCCTTTGAGAACGCGGGATGACAAGCTTTACTGATTTTCCAGCGCGTATCCAGACTCCCCCGCGTTCTTTCACGGCATATTTCGGCCTCCAAGGCAGGGCACGCCTGTCTCCACGTGCCCTGTGCATTATGACATCAGAAACGAGAAAATTTCTCTGGCAAGCTTCGTAAGAGCATCGGCTGCAGCTGTGGGAGGATACTCAAAGTGCAGCCAAAGCTCCCCGCGGATAGACGTGCATTCAAGCCTCGGCTGAGGTACGCGAGTTACGTAGCGGTAGAAAAGCGTCGGGAAGTGTATTCGAAATTCAATTTGCACACCACCGATGCAATTTTTTCACGTAATCACCCAAGTGCTATCAGTGTCCAAAGGACGTCTTACAGACATCTTATTTGGTCACGACTCGTTCGTGAATCGTCCATTTGTCGTTGAAACTTGTTTTAAACAAGGTTAAAATTAGATCTGAGAATTTTCGTTGAATCAATATCAGATTCGTAATCGCGACTCAACTGTGAAAAATGTCAAAATCTAACTCTGCGCTCGAATCTATATATGTCGTTTGAGACAAGTTTCAAGCAACGACTATTAATACCGTCTTGAGACGTCTTCCAGATGTCTCCAAAGCAGATGTATCTAAGGATATAAAGTCATTGCTTGAAACTTGTCCCAAGTGACTCAGGTCGCAAGTAACGACTACACGGAGGGAAATCATTTTGCTTTCGTAGCGAAACCACGTCGTTGCTGTCACTGCATAATCGTTGCACGACAGCGATAAAATTTAGGCATAACCAAATGAACGGATTATTCATCATTAGAACGGGAACAGTTTTCCCGCCAGGAGTAGAAAATATCCTGCCGAGTGAATGTGTCCTCGGAGTATATTAATTTGCTGTTAGAAACAAAATAGCCTCTCCCTGAGTTTTCTCATTTCTCCCTGCAGCAAAATAACTTGCGGATCCGGCAAAATAATTTAGACAGAGAGAAATGCAAATTCTTAACAAATCGCTCCGCTGTGCATGCAGATTTGCCCGCGACAGCGCAAAATCTGCCGCGTCGGTGAGCTTTTTTTCTTTTCTCCGCGTATCAATACCACCCAAGAGACGTATTTCAGGGACGCGTTCGCGCCACGCCTGAGCGCGTTTAAGAATCCATGCCGCGTAGCGACCGATCGCCCCGGTGATTTTTTTTCCACGTCATATCCAGAGCGGTCCGCCAATCAAGGCGTGAATTTGTTCGGAACGCTTGCCGTACGAACGGACCCGTCAATCACACGGCCCGTTAACTGCGCGAAACACCATGGAGAAGACGAGAGGGGGAGGGCGGGGCTCATTACGACTGGCCGGGCCCGGCCAGGACCGCGTCTTACGTCTTCACTCGTGAAACGGAGTTACGACTTCCGATTGTCGGGTGGCATTTTATGAAGCATCGCGCTTAAACGACGCAGCGGCAGAAACCACCTACGGGATTTAATAGATATTTCGGACACACTTTCCCGGGTGGCTTCGCACCGAGCTAATAAGAAAGCGCGCGCGCACACATAGTGCTTGCGAGCTTGCGCTGCGGTGTGCCCTGAAATAAGGGCGGTAAAGCAGAATAAGGTTTCATGAGCCAAAGCAGCAGTCGTGAAATAAGGTCGCCTTCGCCTCGAGGAAATTGAGCCGAAAAATGACGCGGCTTATGACTCGTGAAGAAAAACGGCCGAAAATACGCTCTCTTTCTCTCTCTCTCTTTCTCTCTCTCTCTGTTCGTTTATTCCTTAATAATGCTTTTGTAGAGAACGTTTTCTTAGTTTGCGGCTCTTTATTTGCTCGAGTGCCATTTGTTTGCTTGTTTATTATTATTATTATTACTAAATTAGCACTTTGACTTGTAAGCACATTTATCGGCTACGTTCCGATATTCATCGCCAGTACCGGAAATCTATCTATACGTAACATGACCGTAGACTTTCAGTACTGGCAGTGAATATCGGAACACCGTCATTATCTCTCGTGGTTCAACTCAAGTATCCGCCTCTTACGATGTATTCTGTAGACCGAAGGGGTTTTAAGACCCCAGAGTATTAATAAATTCTCTCTCTCTCTCTCTCTCTTTCGCCTCGTGTGCGCATACCGCCTTTCCCCCCTCCTCCTTACGTCGTTACACCAAAGTAGAATTTAAGGCAGGATCTACGATAGGTGTGGTAAGCCTTTTACAGCTTCCAAGCAATCAAATGTAACGTAATTTTCGACAAAAGGTCCTTTTTCGCGATGACGCTTAAATACTCGAAATTGTCGCAATTTAGCGTTTCGAGCTAAGAGGCTGAAGGTTTGCCACATCTATCGGAGATCCGGTCAGTGGATTCGCATCGAATCGCGAATGAAGAAAATCGAACCACGACTACGACGAGAGACCGTGACGTGGCCACGGGGGGGG